GAATCTGGTGCACCCTCAACAATGGAGGTAAAAGAGGGAATTGGGCCAACTTTATTGGGTGCTTCTGAAAGTGGGTTTATTAAAGTCAAAGCAATTGTTAGTATTAAGAAGAAGATTAGGCAGAGATTAGTTGATAAACTTGAAGATCAATGGTTTAATTTTCTTAATAATGTTGGTCAAGCTATTTTTCTTCAGCTTATTAGTGAGCAGATTGATCCTGGTTTGTTTTCTCTCTCTACTTTTTGTTTAGTTTTTATATTTTAGTGTAAATAATCTTGTGGGTTACTTTATTATTGTTGGTTTGGAGATTTACTTGCCAAAGGTGCAACCTTTTCTATGGTGGGGTTAGGGGTGTTAATGAGTCGAGCCTGCTCGTGGACTTTTAAGGGTAAGAGAAACCCGAATTATTTAGTTTGGCTACAAGTAACATTAACTAGAAAGAAACAACAACCACAATTTAAGAATAAGGGGGTAATGATAATTGAGTTGGGAAGGTGGGAGCTCTACCATTAAACTCGCACTTAATTAATTGTATATCATACGTGATAAAAGGTTGTTTGTGAGTCCACTTTGGTAAAAAATAGATAAAATTGAGACTTTTGGTGTATGTTTTTTTTTTTTTTTTTTTTTTTTTTTTTGGTGAAAAATAAAATAAAATTGAGACATTAGGTTAATCACTAAGATTTGTGAATAGTAGGGTTATCTTTTGGGATAAGGGTTGAGATTCGCAAGATTAGTATTTACAAATTTCAAATATTAAAAAAGTGACATTTGGAAAAAATATACTAGTAATAGATAGTGACCTGCTTCCTAAATAATTTTTAATGTAAAAATTGAAAAATGAGATGTTTGTAAATTCATCTCCCTTTCATAGCTAGCTAGTTGAAAATTATTAATTTGTTAGTTGCTAATTTGGCTAATAATGTATGAAATGTGGTGCATGAATTGATTTATATTATGATTAAAGTCTTAATTTGTAATTTGTACTAAATATTTTTTGATTTATGTCATGGATGATCCAATTAGATGCTTTCTGATATTAAAATCTGTTGGTTAATAATTTAGTTTTTTGATAATTTGACAAGAGGAAGAATCATGGATGATTGTTGTGTTATTTGTAGATACTAATTCAGGAAAGAGTGTAGAGGGTTACGTGACTGAGTGGCGGCCTAGTTCATCAGAACAGCCATACATTGATGAATATACTGCCAGTTTTACAGTTCCTTCTGACTTTGGAATTCCTGGGGCAATCCTCGTTACGAATACGTACTATAAGGAGTTCTATCTGGTGGAGATTGTTCTTGATGGATTCGATAATGGACCTGTTTACTTCCCGGCTAATTCATGGATTCATTCCTGTAATGACAATCCTGAGAGCAGAATTATCTTCAGAAATCATGTAAAGTGTCACATTTTGTTTTGTTTGAGTCTTTTTTGCTGTTGCATTGTTTAATTTGTATGGATTATACTGTTGCGAGGACATGATAGTGTATCTGATGTTGCACTGAATTTTTGACTGTGAAGACGTACTTACCAGCACAAACACCGTCTGGTATCAAAGATCTGCGAAGAGAGGACTTGCTTAGTCGTCGTGGTGATGGGAAAGGAGAAAGGAAGTTACATGAGATGGTTTATGATTATGCTCCATATAATGATTTGGGAAATCCTGATAAAGATGATGACCTCTTTAGGCCTGTTCTTGCTGGCTCTGAACGACCTTATCCAAGGCGCTGTCGCACAGGAAGGCCACCTATGAAATCTGGTATAGCTGCTCTCCTCCATCCATTAGTGTTTGTAAGTTTAAGTGACAAGCAATATGTCTGGTAGAATTTAATCAGTAGCAGTCGGGTTAATAAGGGTTGGACAAACAATCTATATGCATTTGGGACCATTTGATTAGTAAATCGGTTCAATAAGAGAACAGGTCCTGTGTGGATATAGATAATAAGGCTTGGATTATTCTTATAGATGTAGTAGCTTTTCAAACTCAAACACTCAAATATCTAGTACTTTTCTCTTGATTTTGATTGTTCTGTTCTGGGAATTCATGCAGTTCCGATATGTGAGAGTAGAATCGAGAAACCTCATCCAGTATATGTTCCTCGTGATGAAGCTTTTGAGGAGATGAAGCAAGCAACATTTGCTACTGGAAGACTGAAAGCTGTTTTGCACAATTTGGTGCCTCAGATTGCCACTGCTTTGGCTAGTTCGGATATCCCATTCACCTGCTTTTCTGAGATTGACAACCTTTATATCAAAGGTTTTATGGTACCAGAAGATGATGTAGCTGAAAAGATTAATAGCTTAAAGAAAATGCTCAACATGAGTACTAAACTCTTCAAGTATGATGTTCCTGCTGTTATCAAAAGTATGTCTTGTGCTCTATCTCATAGCAACTTTATTGAAGGTTAAATATGCTATTGGTCCCTCCTGTTCTTCCAATACTTATTTATTTTCGGCCCCCAGGTGATAGATTTTCTTGGCTGCGGGACAATGAATTTGCACGCCAGGCTTTAGCAGGAGTCAATCCTGTGAACATTGAACTTCTAAAGGTAGCTTCAAAATTACTTACACTTTATATTTGTCTCACAGAAACTATCAAAGTCGATAGACTTTCCTAAATAGCTGATGTTGTGGCTTAGGAATTTCCTATCACAAGCAAATTGGATCCAGCAGTTTATGGCCCTCCAGAATCAAAGATCACAAAGGAAGTAATTGAAGGAGAACTGGATGGAATGAGTGTCGAAGAGGTACTGATATACATTGTGTTTTTGGTAGCTTTAGCTTCTGTGCTTATTGTGGCTGATAGAATAAGAATTACTTTATTAATTTGACTCGAGGTCAACCCCATTGGATTCAAATTTTAGTTAGAATGTAATAAATTCTCATGACCTCTTACCAGTTATGCTCCTTTTGCCATGCTAATGCAGGCCATAGAAAACAAGAGGCTGTTCATAATAGATTATCATGACCTCTTACTTCCGTTTGTCAACAAGATAAATGACTTACCTGGAAGAAAAGTATATGCTTCTAGAACAATTCTTTTCTATACCAGTGCCGGGACTCTTACACCTGTTGCTGTTGAGCTTTCGCTTCCTCCCACTGATTCTTCCCCTGCATTTAATCGTGTTTATACTCATGGACATGATGCTACAAGCTATTGGATCTGGAAGTTGGCCAAAGCCCACGTTTGTGCAGTTGATGCAGGCGTGCATCAACTAATAAATCACTGGTTTGTTTTCATGACAATTGTGCAATGATTTTTTTTTTATCTTCACATATCTATATACTATGCATTTCAACTTGTAACCTTGATTCCAATATTAACGAAAAGAAAATGTCTTACATCATCCTTTTCTGATCTCGAGGTGATATTTGGTTGTTAGGTTGAGGACTCATGCTAGCGTGGAGGCTTACATAATTGCTACAAATAGACAGCTGAGCCAAATGCATCCTATTTACAAGCTCCTGCATCCACATATGCGATACACTATGGAAATTAATGCCCTTGCTCGACAGAGCTTGATCAATGGAGGAGGAATCATTGAGGCCTCGTTTACCCCTGGAAAATATGCTATGGAGATCAGCTCTGCTGCCTACAAGAGTATGTGGCGGTTTGACATGGAGGCATTGCCAGCTGATCTACTCCGAAGGTGAACTATTACTCACATGACTGCTATCTTATTTCCACTTACTTCATGCACCTATGCCTCCTTTCATTCTTTGAACCTTAGTTTACCAAAAATATCTGTAATATAAATGTACAGAACCTTAATGTTGTTCAGAAAGTCCTTCCAGCTGTTTAATCCTATGTGTTGAGGACAATCGGGTGCTGTACTGATAGCTGTATGATTTTCCAGGGGAATGGCAGAAGAGGATCCCTCAGCACCCTGTGGAGTGAAACTGGTGATTGAAGATTACCCTTATGCTGCTGATGGCCTTCTCATATGGTCTGCCATCAACGAATGGGTTGAATCTTATGTTTCACACTTCTATCCCGACTCCAGTGCCATCACCTCAGATGCTGAGCTCCAAGAGTGGTGGAAAGAGATCAAGGAAAAAGGCCATGCTGACCTGAAAGACGAACCTTGGTGGCCTAAACTCGAATCCAAAGAGGATTTAGCCAGAATACTGACTACAATTATTTGGGTTGCTTCAGGTCAGCATGCAGCAATAAACTTTGGACAGTACCCTTTTGGAGGGTACATTCCAAACCGTCCTACCCTCATGCGGCAACTTATCCCTCAAGAAAATGATCCCGAGTTTCAAAAGTTCCTTAAGAATCCCCAAGCTACATTTCTCTCATCTCTACCTTCTAAACTACAAGGTACTAAAGTGATGGCTGTCCAAGACACATTGTCAACACATTCCCCAGATGAAGAGTATTTGGGGCAGGTGCATGGCCATTGGATTGATGACCAACAGGTTAGAAACATGTATGAGAGATTTGCCACTCGTTTGAAGGAGGTTGAAGAGATAATACATCAGAGGAATAAGGATTTTTGTCTGAGGAACAGAACTGGTGCTGGTGTCCCTCCATATGAGCTGCTTCTACCCACTTCTGGTCCAGGAGTCACTGGCCGTGGCATCCCAAATAGCATTTCCATTTGAAAAGGAACCACTATTATACTTCGAATTCTTTTGTACAAATTTGCTAAATATTCTGGCAAACCTTTCTTGAAATAATCTTTCCATTATGAAAAATCTCTGATTTGTTATTACAGGAATCAAACATGAGTGATGCTGTCATCAATGACTCAAATAGTTTATAGTTTTGCAAAATTAAACGTGGTATGGTGCTGTAAGTTGTAATGATTAATTAACTCGATAACTTCAATGTATAAAAAATGAAATTAACAACTCAAAATTAAGCTTTATAGCAACTTCTTGTGGTTGGCTAGCTGTGCTACTCGGGACAATGCAAGTCTGAGGAGATATCAACTTTAAATTTATGTAAATCTGAGCAGAGATTATATATGAATATATGATCAAAGAACAAATTGAATTATCAAATTTCATCAACAAGGGTCAAGGGACTAAGAAGTCCAGTTGATTAGAACAATTTAGAGTTTACAACTCGCAGGTTATATTACAAGTGGGACGAAAGGTTAAGCAGCCAGATATTATTTGACTTCACCATCATCTAAAGTATATTTCCAACAAACAAAAAAAATAAAAAAAACCAAATCCACTAAGGTTTTCCTAAGGTTTCATACTTGTAGAGCTCTTCTTAGATGTGTGCTAGGCAGCACAAAGCCAGCTCTTCTTTCCTCAAATGAGTATTCTATTTCTTCATCCTTTTCTCCTACCAAATTATCACCAAAAAGAGGTTTCGAAGGAGCTGGAGTCATCGATGTTTGCATGGGAGCTGAAACTGTCATAGGCGTTGTAGGTGGAGGGAACAACATTTTGTTGGGAGTGTGGTTTTCTTCATCACCAGCTGGGATCTTCTTTGAAGGAGTAACTACTGAAGTGTTGCTTACACTAGCTACTTTCTGGGATGTCTCGTTTTTGGCCAGAGATTTCTGTACACTGTTGTTTTGCAGTATGTTCTGATCGTCAAAGAAATCTCCATTTGCTCTTGATGATGCCACAGAAGAAATAGGGGAGAAAGGTCTTCGTGCCACAGTAGTAGGGTCAGATTCACGACCACTGAATGTGAAGTTTCTAGTCGGGAGATTGGCAATGTCTAGTGCCCTCCTCGCTACAAATAATGAAACAAATGATCAAACATTAGCAGTTGGAACAAGGAAATGTTGGCTCAAAAAAACATCTCTCAAACCCTTTATCACATCAGAAAATAGACATAATTGGTTGATCAGCCTTGATCTGAAGAAACTAACCAGTTGATTGTCCTCCATTGTTGTCGTCCTTTCTGACAGAACGGGAACTCGGTGTTGCTCTAGTTGAGTGAGATGAATCAGGCCTCGGAGTTTGGTGCATGTTACCTCCTAAGGAGAGCCTTCGATTTGGTCCTCCTCCTGGACCTCCCATAGACATTCTTCGGGAAGGCTTCTTGGCACTCTTTAATGGGCTTGGTTTTGAGCCAAAAAGTGCCTCTTGCTCCGTATTTATTTGCCCTTGGAGTTTCTTCTGTTCCTGAAATTCGAGACAGTAATACACATGCATGCCTTTATAAACACCCATATTTAGGCTTAAGAATTAAGCTAACAGCTTTTTCAAGAAGTACTTGAAATCCAAGAATGGATCAAAGTAAGATGCTATGCATACCCTTTGCCTTTTCTTTTCTAGCTCCTTTTCTTGCCGCAATATCATGTATTCCTCAAGCATGGAAAGAAGACGAACCTGATTGATAAACACGAGCTGATTTACAATTGAATGACAAGGGAAAACAACACAAAAAAAAGTATTAAGAAATATGTACTTACACCATCATACATAAATTCAACACCTCTTTCATTCTCCCAGCTATGAGCTTTTGCAGCCAGTGCCTCCACCATTCCTGTGTGAGCATGGAAGGTTAATCAAAATTGTGAGCAATTACCAAAATTCTTCTACAATACAGGTGTTAGATACATACTACATCAGCCTAATCTTTACAATGAAATCATTTGCACATGACATATATCACCATGTTTACCTGGAAGTTTGTTGACTAGTGATCGAGCTTTTTCAGCACGCTTAAGGGTGAGATGAGCACCTCTGCTTGCATTGTACCGGTTGTCATCCTAAGGTGACAGAAGGAAGGATTAACCATCAATGTGAATGTTGGAGGTAAGACAATGAGCTTGTAAATATTTCAAGATAACAAACATTACCTGATTATATTGTTCAAGCCACTCTTCCTCCTCACGGGCTGATAACCACTTTTCAACCTTTTCAAGTATTTCTTTGCGGCTATATGCTTCTTCCTTGACCTTGGAAACTTCCGACTCAATTTGTTCGAGAACAGAAGCAGGATCCAAAGCTCCTGAAAAGGAAAAATAATTAAGTATTCTATAAGAGAAAAGTACAAAGCAAAGCAATCTATTATTATTGGTGATATGATCAATTCTACAGCCATTAAAAAGGAGCATATGGAGGAACCAATGCAATATGCAATTCAAAGTCTTATAACCATTATGTAAAGCATAATACCAGATTCTATTGCTGCCATGAGATGTTCTGTTTCACAATCTGCTTCCGGAACTAAGTGTGTCTTCCTGCAAATCTCTTCTAGTTCTGTTCTCTTCTTCATGACAAGTTCTTTCATCTTGCTTGATTTCAGCTGTTCCAATCTTGAAACTTCTGCCTCAACCTGCATAAGTCATATATGCTTGCTGGTCAATACTTGAGCATTGTTGTAAAAGATCAAAATGAAGATTCCTCCAAAATGCAAGTACTTGAATTGCGACAAAGTTGCACTAGTATTGTGAAGTACACGTTTTGATATTGTATTGATACTACAACACAACATGTATGCAAATCAAAGCAGATATCTTGTTGCATGGTTGATGTAGAAAAACTTATACTTTGGATAAAAATCAATGTATTAAAAAGACTTATAATTTGGATCAAAAATGTATTAGAGAAGAGGTCTGGCACTGACATATTTTATGCAGTCTTCTGAAAGGACATTGGGCTCAGTTATCTCATCTTCAGATGCAGCAATATTGCATGTGACATGTTGAAAAGGTTGTTGTTCCTCAAATGGTGTATCCATTAGATTCCAAAGCTCGATCAACATTGTTGCAAGATCTTGAAGCTGAACCATTTTGGTTAAAAAGAACATATGTGATGAGTAAATAAGAAATTGGAATGACAAGAACTAATCTAATAAAAAATGTTTAATGTACCTTCTGCATCCTCTGAAGCTTAAGCTCTCGCAATCTAAATATGGCAGACTCCAGCTGCTTAAGTGTTTCAGTACTTATGCTATGCGATTCTTCAGAATCAGCTAAACTTGGATGAAGTTCTCTGACAGTTCCCTTAAAGTCCAACCCAAGGACAGAACACAATGAACTCAAATCATTCAAGTGTTCCATGACAAGCTTCAGGCGATCACTCTGCAAGTTGAAAGAGCGAGGCAGAATTAATTCAAATAAACACTAACTAAAGTTTTGAACCTTTTAAAAGGATGGACAATGAATAGAATAATTCACCTTCTCCTTCTGTAGGGACTGCAGCTTGTTTTGCAATTCTTCGAGCCTTCTCAGAGACAGGTCATTTTCATCTATAACAACTGTGCAACTATCATATCCTGACAGTCCATATATTTCAGTGGACACTTTTTGAATCTGTCCAATGACATCAAGAAATTGATTTTTCCTTTCGATTTTGCTTTTTCGCATTTCTTCTAGCTGTGGAAGAATGGCATCTAGCTCTTCCTTTAGGCTTCCAGCTTTTTGTTCAGTCTGAAAAATTAGTTCAACTGGGTTATTCCTCATTACAAGACAGGTAAAAGATCATAGTGCCAGGGTCCTGTGCCCAATCTCTAAATACTCATTTTGATTATTCGTTTTCAGTGAAAGCTTTTTAGTCTGGTAACAGACTGTTGATCAAGTTTCCTACACATATCTAACATAAGTGATCAACAATCAGATACTGAAAGTGGAAATATCTGAATTGTTGAAGCATCTAAGACAGCCTAATTGATTAAAGTTTTTGTGCATCAGTTCATGGACATATTTCTGAAGACTGAAACTGATCTATAATAGCATGCAGGAAACAGTGGTGACTAATAAAAGTATACAACAAAGGGTATCAATTCAATGTATACATGTATGATCAAGTATTAGAATTCGTTACCTGTCGAATATGGACTGGCCTCTCAACCATTGCAGAACAAATGGCGGCTAGCTCAGCCTCAGAATCAGCAATAGCCTGCAATAGCTGAGCTCTGCAGCGGTTAGCCTGATCAACTTTTCTCCTGTATACCTCAAGGCACTCTTGCTCCAGCTCAAGTAACATCTTATCACGAGCGGTTTCAGATTCACCAACCTCATCCCATATAATCTGAACATAATAACAACAACTTAAATCACCCATATATTAAACTACAACTGTCATCACTGCATCAAATTATTCACAGTTTATACCTGAAGTTCATATAATAAAGATCCACAGGTCGTTTCCACTTGTGTAATCGGATCGGTCGGGACCACAGCCATCTTAATTCAACACAGAAGCACAACCCAACAGCCTAATTAAGGAGAAAAAATCAATGAGAATTTCAATTGAGCATATAGAAGAAGGTACTCAAGTAAGGCACTCTTGTAATCTTGAACCATTATGTACTAAATCATGAATTATATTATCAGTATGTACTATCAAATAATTTGGACCATATGTTATACATAACATACATCAAATTGACCAAATATGATATAGAACTCAAAATTATGACCAAACTTTAAAAAATCAAAATTGTAATTAATACCACCAAGAGATACTTTTACAGTAAATCAAGTCAATCATAGTAAACTTAGTTATAACCTTATAATTAATACTCTCTCGCCGGAGATATATCTCGTATCACCGAAAAAGTTGTAACCTTTCCTAAAATAGTGACAGGTCAAGCTCGATTACACCGATTATTACAAAGGTTATTTCAGTAAACAATACTAATAATATCCCCTCCATTTCCATAAATAGAAAATTCGACATCAATTTTGAGAAAACCAAACTCATCTAAAAATTCCAATTACACAGATACATCTCCAAACAAAAACTTAAACATTGAAAAATTCCAACAAATCCAAATTGAAAAATAACCCACAAAAAAGAAATTACAACTCCTCAATGTAACTGGAAATTAATTACTCGTATACACAAAGCCCAATTTCCAGTAATTACCCAGATAAATCAAATCCCTAAGAAAATTAGGGTTTATCAAAAAAAAAAAAAATGCCAACAAGAACAAATTGCGCAGAAATCAAACAAAAAACACGAAAGCACAGCAAAATAAGAGCAAAAGAGAGGAAATCAACACTAACCTTGTTGAAAGATTAGAGGTTGAAGATGATCAGAAAATGGAAGGTAGAGAAAGAAAGAGTTAGAGAGAGATGAGAGAGAAAGAGAGGTGTTTGAAAAATTCGACCGTTAAAAGAAGAGAGTGAGATCTTCTCTTCAAAGTATCTGACTTTGTTCAAATTCAAAAATAAAAAAGGAAAAAAAACAGTGACTGGAGAAAAGGACTGTAATGCCCGTTACAAAACTCCAATTATGACCAAACTTTAAAAAATCAAAATTGTAATGTAAAGGGTTTGGAATTTGGATTAAGGCCCAATTGTAGAGATTTCTCAAAACACAAGTCTACTCTAACCCAACCCTATCAACGTTAGGTGTAGTTTTTTTTTTTTTTTTTTTTTTTTTTTTTTTTTTTTTTTTTTTTTTTTTTTTGGACAAAGAGCACTAACAAACAAACCAAAAAAACAACTAGTAACTAAACGACCAGCAAAGGAAATGACGATCACGAGCGCGGACAACCAACCAATGAACTGGAGCCACCCGAGGCACCTTACAAATTTGACAAGCAGAAAACCGAGCCAGGAGCTCCCTCGGTTATTGGAACAGCCACCAACAGGAAATATCTGCAGAATTGGGATACCTAAGCTGAGAAACCAACTGAGCACAATTCTTATAAATTAAGAGCCTAAAACAATCATGTCGAACTGCTATCCGAAGAGCCCAAAAACACGCCCTCAATTCAGCCTGAAAGGCGGAACCCGCACGACCTGCCTTGGCTTAGCCAGCAACCTTCAGAAGAAACCCTACGAAGAACCCAACCAGCACCTGCAGAATTATCATGATCGAACCAAGCACCATCAAACATCGGGCAGTATCAAGCTGGTCCGAAAGTTCTCGCACACTCAAACGCGCAGGATCATGCCCCAGGGAAGGAGGGCAGCTGCCTAAAGATAATAGACTATGCTGAAAATCCTAGCTTGAACTGCCCGAGAATTCCAATCCTGAGAAAGATGAACAATCAAAGAAGGAGACCACACAGCTTGCCTAAAAACACAGCCATTCCGCACCGTCCAAACCGCCCAAAAGAAAGAAACACAATAAACTAAACTAGCTAAGTCCTTAGATCTGCTGAAGGAAGAAACTGCATCCACGATCCAATCTACAAAGGACGATGAGACAGGCAACACACCCTCAATTCTGCCTGAAAGGCAGAACCCGCACGACCTGCCTTGGCTCCGCCAGCAACCACCCTGTCAGAAGAAACCCTACGAAGAACCCAACCAGCACCTGCAGAATTATCATGATCGGACTAAGCACCGTCAAACATCAGGTAGTAATCAAGCTGGTCCGAAAGTTCTCCTCGCACACTCAAACGCGCAAGATCATGCCCCAGGGAAAGATGAACAATCAAAGAAGGAGACCACACATCTTGCCTAAAAACACAGCCATTCCGCACCGTCCAAACCGCCCAAAAGAAAGAAACACAAGAAACTAAACCAGCTAAGTCCTTAGATCTGTTGAAGGAAGAAACTGTATCCACGATCCAATCTGCAAAGGACGAAGAGACAGCAGGCAACACACCATTGAGGGACAAAAGAGTCGGAGTCCAAAGAGGACGAATACAAGGACAATCCCGAAATAGGTGAGAAGTCGTCTCTGAGCTGTCACGACAGAAAATACATCTAGGATCGACCGGAACACCTCTGGAAAGCAGAGTTGCCACTACAGGCAGCGCATTATGAAGAATTTTCCAGCAAAAAAGCTTAAACCGGGGAAGAAGGGGGAGACCCCAGAAGCGTTTCCACCACCCATCGGGTGCTGGATTACATATCGTCGAAACAATCACTTGTTAAACTAAGTAGGTGTAGGTTTAAATTGTTTAGTACTCCCTTCGTGTTTTAACAAGTGTTACACTTATTAAATGCAATCGTGTTTTAATACTCTCACTTTTTATTTTTTATAATTGTATGAGTTCAACCGATATATTTGTCAAGACATAACTTTAACCATTAATTAATATGTTTAATTAATTATTAGTAAAAATTGTAATAAAATTATACGAAGTAATATGAAAGTAGACATTCAGACGAATCTAATGATATATACATAATAACAATTATTTATTTTATAATAGCAAAAAAAATTAAGACAAACATGGCATGTAAATAGTGCAAAAGTCAAATTAAATTGCGTAAAATTATATGCCAGTCAAGTGCTTTTTTATTTTATTTTTTTTTTGTGCAAATGTGTCGGTCAAAATGTAATCTTTATTAAAATACAAAGAGAGTATGGTCTTTCTCCTTGCCAAAAAAAAAAAATAATAAATACTTGGACATTTAATGTTCTCTATTTTTATTTTTATATTTTAAGATTTTCTAAAGGACACTGTTTAACATTAATTAAATCATACAACATCTACAATTATTAAAGTCAAGTTTCATCTCCTAGTCTGAAGTTCAACAAGTTAGTCACTGTGTAGCTTGCTCGCATTGGTCTTTCTTAGCCTCCTAGGACTTTATTTTTTCCCTTCAAAAATAGGACTTTGTTACTTAATGTTAGGGGTGGAGCCACCTATAACAAGGGGGACAATTGTCCCCCATTTAAAAAAAAAATTAATAATATGTACTACGAAGTATTATCTAATGCACATTATATACACATCAACTTATATGATGTAGTGGTAACTGATAAGGTCTTACAAATAGATTTTGCTTAGAGCATTTACATTGGTAGAGTACTTTACAATTTCTCTCTTCAATTCTTCCGCATCATAATCCACTAATTTGAGTCATTTGTTTACTTTTTTCACAATGGTGAGCTAGCTCACTACAATTAAAAAAATTATTTTTGTTAATTTTGGGCCAAAAAATTAAATGAAAATATAAAAAATTGTCACTTGTCTTCTCCTTGTTTGTCACTGGGCTCGTGGGCCGAGCTTGTCACTGACTTGTTAGAGGAAGGAGCCTCACCCCACGAGTCACCTTTCATAATAGTAAGTTAGCTCAAAATAGGGGAGAGAGTGTTGTGGGGAGGGTCTTGAGTCACCCATTGCGGGTGCTCTCAGTGGGATCAAACACCCTCCATTTCATTATATCTAGGGGTGGCAATTTGGGTCAGTAGGTTGGATTCGGGTTAGATTTCGGATTGTGCTTACAACTATTAAAAATAATACTACTGATATGGTGTAAGCTTAAGATTATTCTGAAATATGAAATTTGGATCAAATCGGGTCAAATTCGAGTTGTTCGAGTTTGGGTCGGGTTTAGGTTTCTCTCAATAATTTCGAATCGGATTATTGAGTCGGATCAGAGATTGTCAGCCCCGATATGGTATATCCCCTTTGTATTTTATTTTTTTTTGGCAAAATTACTCATTGACACCAACTTTAAAGTATGTTGCAGATATTGACATGAACTTGTGTCACTTGTTAAATTGACACCAACTTGCCCAAAAAATAATAAAGTTGGCATAAAAACACTAAACATTCAATAAAACTCTACATATGACATCTATATAGTCTTACCTTTCCAACACGTTAAGAACTTTTTGAAGCAAATGATTGTTGAAAAATGAATTTTATAATTGTACAAGGGTTGAAAGTTATATAAAATTAGTTGTTCAGTGTGAATTTTGTATTTTTTTTTGTAGCAAGTTATTACTCCATATAATTTAGTAAGTGATATAAGTTGGTGTCATAATTGCAAAACTTCACAAAATTTGTGTCAATAATTGTAATTTTGCCTTTTTTTTTTTTGACTCATTTTACCTTTTTTCTTCCTTTAATTTTTTGTATATGCTTAAGACAATTTGCCTTCCATTTTTGTAAACAATAAATTATGGTTGTAATAGGAAATTAAACAATAAACCTATATTATCTTATGTTCAAATTCGTCAAAAAATTAAACCCATAAGTAAATATCTATAGACTTGTCACTATTCAAATACTAATAACGTACCATCAGAGGAGTATTGAGGAATAATTAGTATATAATGTTAAATTTCTTTAGTTAGTATTTTGGATTTTGTAAAACTCTAATTATTTAACTAGTTATGTGTTCAAGTATTGAATTTTTTTCCAACTCTTTTGTCGAACTAAGAGATGTCCATTTGTCCCTCAATTTGAAATTTCTGGCTCCGCCACTGCTTAATGCAGTTGTTGTTTGTTGTCTACTTGTCTTGTGCGTTATGTTGTTATGCTATTTTCACTTTGTTATATTGTATACTTTGTAAAAAAAAAAAAAAACAAATATAAAACTTACAATACATATTTTTTTTTATCTCACACACACAAAAAAATAAAATAAAATAAAATAAAAAAATAAAAAAGTGGAAGGAGCAGAATAGGAGGGGAGGGAACAATGGTGAGTTTTCCTTCTAAATCTCTCCATTGTTAGAGTGATCAATTTCCTACAATTTAATCCTTCCATTTCTCTTTCGTTCAATTCCATTCCTTCTCCATTTGTTATCCGAATGAAAGATGTCACATCTCTCCATTTCCCTTCCCTCTTTTTCCTTCAATCCAAACACACTGTAAATGTGATCGATGCTAGTGATGAAAGTTGAGCAAATGAGCATTCTAAAAATCTCAAACTAAATATTTTGTCATTTAACGTTATATTAGTAAATAGCAATTACTTTTTTTTTACGGGATATGAGTAAGTAATAATTGTATCTTATAGCACGGAGTAATATTTAACAGTTAGTGTTTAAAAGTTACTTATGAAGTACGAGTAATTGTATCTTATACACAAACTATATCCTTTTATAACAGAATACCTAGAATATTAATCCTATGTTGTATCACTTACCAATGAACAAGCACAATAGCTTATAAGTCTTAGGGCCTGTTGTGATACGATTATTCTCAGTTCAGTTCAGTTAAGCTCTAATAAGTCCAGTTCATTTCAGCTCCTAATTTCCTTCTCTGATAAAACATCCAGTTCAGTTCAGTTCAGCTCTAATTAATGCAGTTCAGTTCAGCTCTAATAAGTTCAGTTCAGTTCAGCTCTAATAAGTTCAGTTCAGTTCAATTCCATTCAATTCAGTTCAGCTCAATTCAGCCAATCAGAACATGCCCTTAGTATGATAGTATCTATTATTAGATTATTACTAGATTAGTGAAAGTGCTTAACTTGATGAATTTAATACTACATTCAAATTGGAGTAAGGCTATACTCGGACTGGATCTTTAGCTAGCTCAAGTAAATCAATTTCGCCCAAAACCAACTTAACTAATTACAGTTGGCAACACGTGACAGTATTGCATGTCTTCGACACACATACATCCATTGAGTTTTAATACAGTAATAAACTACGAATATAGAATTTGTGTCCATGAGAAATAATGCAAATAATAAAATATGAAAGGAGTAAGAGATGTATGAAATCAATTTTAAAAAGCTTTGTTATGCAACATACGTTAATGATTTGCTAAGTTTTGACGTGCAACATTTTAATTTTTAAGGTTTTAATCAACTAAACTATGTCGATTAGATATTTTCTAATGAGTTTTCGAGCATGCCGTCAGCCAATAATATATGTATGAAGTAAGGGATATTCAATTTAAATAGGTTTTATTATACGTCAATGATTTGCTAATAAGTTTTGATGTGCAATATATTTTAATTTTTAAGGTTTGATTTAATCAAACTAAACTACATTGATTAGACATTTTCTATTTCCTAAAAAAAAAAAAAAAAAAAATTCCTAACCTATATGGGGTTTCGAGCATGCCATCAGTCATATCACTTTTCCCACATCATCATAAGCCATTTTTTTTCTTTCCATTTTTTGAATTAAAAATTGATGACACTTCAAGATGACAAGTTCATCCTCAAATCATTTGACCCCACATCAAACTAATTTTTTTTTTTTTAAGAAAATCAAATTAAAACTTATACTTCAAAGCTTACTACTACTTTGATTTCGTCTGTATATTTATTGTATTAATTAATTAAAATTTTATATATTTATTAAATTTCCCTATTTTCTGCCATTAATTCTCCTAAGTTGATGGTTGATTTTCAGTCGACTAATTCATAGTGAAGAACAGGGCGAAAAGGTCTGGTTTTAATTTTTTGTTTTTTTCCCACAAATTTTTTAATACATTTCTTGGGTTATGTTCAATTTAAAGACCTTCCTTCTGAAATCTTCAATTTGGGATTTTTTTGTTGACCTAATTTTTATACCCAAAACTTCATTGATTTGAATCAAAATTAATGAAATTATGCCCATTTGACAAAAATTTCAATTTTTTTGAGCAAATTTACAACAACCCCATCTTCTCTTTATATCTTATAGATGGAGAAAGAGAGGAATAACTCAACCCCACTTCTTCTCCCACCCAAAAGTGGGACCCACCATCAAAATCATCCTCCCAAAGGTAAACAAGAACAAGCAGAAGGGATTAATGATAAAAATGTTGTTGTTGATGTAGATGGTGAAGAAGTTGATACCCAACTTGATGAAACCCTAAAAAAGTTTGAATTTTTTCTGAGATTTCTGTGTTTTGATCAGACAAATCCATTGAAATTTGGGGTTTCTTGGTTTGTGTTCTTAGTTGTGGGTGTTGCAATTCCTGTATTGATAATTGAGCTCACCCATTGCTTGGATTGTGAAGATTATCAAGTCAAGGATTTTGAGTATGAGATTCTTACCTCTCATCTTATTCTTGCTGGTGTTTCTTTGATTTGTGTGGCATACAATATTAATAAAAAGGGGTTTCGAAAATTCTTGTTTGTCGATCGTTATAGGGGGTATACCGCCCGTTTCAAGGATCAATATATCAAAAAGATTGAGGTAAATTATGAATTCATTGTGTATCAAAACTCGAAATGGCCTGCATTTTGGGGTTTCTCTTCGAATTCGAGCTATATATATTCATGGATACTCTTATTAGTTTGTTGGTTGATAAATTGTTCCAATTTTAGTTGTATGTATTTATGGATGTTACTCTTATTAGCTAGTTGGTTGATAAATTGTTTGAATTTTAGTTGTATGTATATATGGATGTTACTAGTTTGTTGGTTGATAAAATGTTCGAATTCAAGTTGTATTAAGGGTATTTGTATTGCTTCTATAAGAAAGATCTATGCTTTTGATTTATCAATAGCATTTTTTGAAATTTCTTTCTTTCCTGTTGATTTCATGAATGCAATCCACATTGTATGTAAAATGGGGCTGGTCTCAATTTCAAATTTGTTAGTTACTCTCAAATGGATGAAAGAGCAAATAGTTTTAGTTTCAGAATCTTGAAGAGGGTGATTTTAAGAAGCTTGGGATGATTGATGGTCTTATGCTTACCTTTAGGACAAATGCAAGTCAATGTTCCGATGGCATATCTGTGGGTATAATACAGGAGTTAGCCAAAGCCTGGAACTCTAAAATTCTTAGGCAGTTGTAGGCTTGTAGCTACATGCAAGTTTGGGAAGACTTAGATTCCTAATGGCTTCTACGTTAGGTCAAGTAACGTAATTAATTTATTGGGAGGCAGTTTTTTAAGTATTGATCACCAGTACTGTTCTGTAAAGCTGTACAATTTATCACAAGTATATTAGAGATGGTCTCCCAATAGTCTTGTTTGATACACTTTGTATCTTCTGCTATTCTTGTGTACACGCAGTCTTATCTATCATAGATAATGAGCACAGCTGGAGCCGAAAATCTCAGTTACTCTTAGTGCTTATATTTTCAAACCGATTGATTATATCAATGTCTTTTTTTCATATAGATTCCTGTACATACTGTGCCATTTTCCAAGTTTCACTTCATTTGTTACAACTAATATTTTCTTTATAGTTAAATTAGGCCTTTCTTTAATTAATGCTTTATGTGTTACAAACAATGCTCTGTTCCTTAACAATTTTATATGTACCCTCATAAGATCTTGCCATAATTTTTCCTCAGGGTTCATATCAACTGCTGTTACAGTCACTGATTCCATGTTGCATCTTGAAGGCGCTTCATGAGATCATGCGCATGATATACGTGCAAAACCATTCATGGTGGTTGGCTTGTTTTAATGCCACTGCTTTAGTAATATCTTGGACATACCTGAGTGCAATTTCACTGGCAGCCTGTATTCTCTTTCATGTAGCCTGCAATTTGCAAGTCATTCATTTCAATGATTATGCAAAACTCTTGGAAAGTGAATCCAGCATAATGACTTTGATGGATGAGCACATGCGGTTGAGGGGGTATCTCTCCAAAATCAGCCACAGATTTCGAATATATCTTATCTTGATCTTCCTATTCGTCACTGCTAGCCTGTGTATGACTCTTATACAGATCACTGGTATTAACGGCAGAGTAACTTTCCTAAATGGTGGAAATTTTGCTGTAAGTCAAATTCCCTTTTCACTTTCGATTTAAATTATTTGTGTTTATATTAGATCAGAGTTACAGTGTACTGCTATGACATAATTTGCATGATCACAAGGTGTGTGATTGTCAAGATTAAGAGTTTTATTAACTTCAGCAAAACTAAACTAGAAATTTTTTTGTGTTGATAATGTATAGAAGTTTTTACTTAACCTGTTAGCAAATCTCAAGCATTAAGGTTTTCTTTAGAAGCTCTTTGTATTGATATCTACCTATTATAGGGCAGCCCCTCCTCAGGATCTGTTTCCTAAAACCAGCTTCCAAGATTACAGATAGGGCTCAGGTTTGTTTGGCATCTATGCCTTCTGCCCTTCAAACAGTATGGGAGCCATTCAGCTTATCCATCAATGAGAAGGGGCTGCAGAATACTAGAACCCAATTTCTACAGTGATGACAGGTTACTGTTGCATTGTCCATGGGGTCTGAATAGCCCCAGCTTTCACAGGTTCTAACCTTTGATTAAAAGTTAAATTGATGAATTAATGAACTGGATACATTTTCTTGCATAGTTGTGTGATGGTGTATGATCGGTATGTATGAATAAATCATAAAGAAAACACCTCCCCTCCCCCCCCCCCCCTCTCACTCAAAACAAAAGTTACAAAAAGATCCGAAACGAAAATTATTAGATTGATTGAAGTATGCGGTATGCCATGTTAATGTGCAGATTATATGTTATCTTTGTGCTAGATCCCGAGGAAGGCTTACATCTATCTAACCCTAAGAAGGAAAATCAATGTGAAACTGGTAATAGAGTCTAATTATTAATTAGTTTTACCAACAAACCTTTGGTGAAGTGAAGCCATTGATAACGGAAATGCCTCATTGCTTTGTATGGTGATTGGGATGAATGATATACTGATGTTTTTTTCTATCATTGATTGATGATCTTACATACATGGAAGTAGGGCTAGGTTGTTGACATCAAGGAGCTATGCATTTCTCAAAGTTGTATGCTACAAGATACATGTCAGACTTGTGGCATAGTTGTATGTATAAGCTGAAGTTCGTAAAATAAAGGTTGCAGAGTCCTAGAGACAAGGATTTTATAGAAAAGTGAAATCAGGAAGTGATTAGAGATTATTATGTGAATTCTACTTAATGTAAGTGGCAGGAAACAGTATGTGGTTGAGCTGAACATATACACTGGATGCTGTAAGGTACTCCAAGTGATGTAAAAAGGTGATTGTAGTAGGAGAGCAGAATTAACAGATAGATCCTGGATTAAAATTTCGGGGGAGGGCTGGACTGCCAGAAGGGGACCTCGTATATCATTTTTACCCTAGGCTCTTAGGGAATGGAGTGGTCCTTCCCTAATTTCTGATTCTTATGTCTATTAAATGACTTTCAGACCTTTGTAAGAACATTGCTTTTGTGGGTTATTTTGGGAACTAGTTCTCTTCCAGTTTCAACTAGTTAGGAGTAAAGCTACATGCCTCTTGGTCTTCCAAACCTCGTCAACAGCAGGCACTAAACTAATTGGTAGTCGTCATTGTTGTAGCAAATAAGATCTTCAGTGTCTTTGCCGATGCCATTTAATAGAATAATTGCTCTCGCTCTTCCATTTCCTTCTTTTCTGTGTTTCTAACTTCTTTCCGCTCCTGATTTTAGGTAACTTCAATTGTTCAAGTTGTTGAAACACTTCTTTGCTTGCATGCTGGTACAAAGATTTCCTCCAGAGCTCACGCAATTGGTTCAGTGGCATCTAGATGGCATGCGCTAGTAACTTGCAAGTCCCTTGATGCAGGAAAACGATCAATGTCGATGGGCTCATTGACTTCAAATTATTCTGACAGTGAATCGAATTTACTAGATGAAAATGCAATCATCAGCCATTCGCAATTTGCTTCTGTTTCGTCATATAACAAGAGGCAATCTTTTGGTAAGTCTAGTCTTTTTTTTTTTTTTTTTTCATTAGGACACCTATCTTATACTCTACTTTCCAAACACCCTTTTATTCAGTGTTAAATAGTTAACGTGATCACCCTTGCTGGACTGTTGAATGGCAGGAAACAAAATTACTAACAGATTTCTAACTTTGAGGTGCAAAACATATTTACAAATCATCTAAGCTCATTAGCTTTAGAGATAATTTCTGAAAACAATATTAGTCAAGCCTAGAAACATTTAATTTATCGAATTTTGGATAGATTGGTTTGCCTGTGAACCAGAAACCTAAGATGCATGTTTACGCCTTAAATGTTTTTGTTGTTTTCTATTCGCAAATTAAGGATGTCAAGACCTATTTGAACATTTCTGTTGTTAAGGCCAAAAATTGTAAAAATGTATGTGCATATTGCAAGACTATTCTTTCATTTCCACTTCATATTAATTTCTTATGAGGAAAAAAATAGATATAAAGTGTGGAATAATTATAGTTACTCCCTACTTCTACTGCTTCAAATGATAAGGATGTAAGTGAGAACAAACCCTGGATCACTGAAGTCTTTTACAATGAAGAGATATATCCTGGAGCAGAGCTCACCTTGTTAGCTTCTTTATTCACTATATACTCCATATGCCCTCCATTTCATTCCAATGTTTCGAATTTGAGTTCATGTTGTTTTGTGATATTTAAGTTGATAGTGGAAATTGTATTTTCGTATGTATGGTTTATGATTAGTGCTATTTCATACAACATGTGTTCATTTTACTAAGTGGATATTACAGTGATGTATTTGCAGACGAATCCTGGAGGGCTCACATTGTATGGATGGACAGTGGATCGTTCGCTTTTGTCTACTATATTTGCTATCGAGCTCTCACTAGTCCTTTTTGTATTGGGTCAAACCATTGTTTTCTCTTCCCCATCAAATGATTGACTTTTCATTCGTTACTAAAGTACACCATGAATCACTATCATCTCGTGTTCTGAAGTCGAATTGCTTTTGCGTAGTTCAAACTTCAAAGGTCTCATACCAACTTGGAATCCCAGTTAAAGCAAATGTCATTTCAGAACTTTTTTTGTTCGCTTCCTGGGATTCTTACTGCCATTACGTGCTGTATTTGGTGCACGAGGCGGAGCCACGTAATTGTTGATTATATGAGTGTAGCATTCTATTTTGTATATTCTTTTGTAAATAATAGTAAAAGCATTAAATTACTCTTCATTTGTAACCTTATACGAAGTATGTAAACAGTGACAGTTTGTATACATGAATGAATGTGAATAAACATAATCATGAGTGCTGTTTGTGACATTGTTGTTCCTCAAGCTGTTAATATTTGTGAAATCAGATATTTGACTATAAACATGATTTTAACCAAAAAAAAACTAACATGCTGACCAAAAATATGCTGTATCAATAGATATTCATCTGATGTCATTTGTTTGGATATATTTTAAGATAATAAGGCATCAGCCTTTTTGGAAAAGTTCTACCCTCCCTCAATATATTGTCTAATTTAAAATATGTACATTTTTTTTTCTTTTTTTCTTTTTTTTGTGTGTATGTACAGAGTCGTAAAAAGGTTAATGATGTAGACAAAATTTGATCTTACAGGGAATACTTTTAGAATTGTAACCAATCTAGCTAGTTGACATCTAGTCGTCTACATAAATACAAGAAAAATAAAGTTGAAATATTAATAGATTTAATAATAAAGTCTTAACAAGCTAGAATTTTTAAAGTGAACCCGAAGTTCCATTTCAACAGCTACAACACTCATGAGAAACCAATTTAAAGAGAGTAATATCATTCTCTGTATCGTTCCAATTTTATATATGTCTTTGAGAGACAAGACTGAACATATAAGATCAAACAGGGTGGCTCCTATCGATTCATGACTCTTCGTGCCATAGCTCTCAAATTATCTCGTGCCAAGCTAGAGCTTCTATAAATATCCATGAACTCTTCTCTCTGTAACCTCAATGCTAATGCAGCATCTTCATCTTGGTTTGGAACTCCTCTACTACTGATCAAACTAGCTTCTTCTGATCTCCTTGATACTCTAAGTCTTCTGCTCAAGTGCGGATTGCTGTTGTCAGTAGCTTGATTACTACTACTGATCACCCTTTCAGTGCTCTTCCTGCGCTGATCACTTACTTTACTATTCGCAGCTGCTGCTGCTGCAGCTGCAATCCTCGACTCGACTTCTGCAGGGAATAAAAGCTGTATAGTGTTCCAAAGCACTGTGTTTATAGTGCAGGATCTTCCATTACTGCCAAAAATTCATCAACAATCATATACATTAATACCCATCAAAATCTGACCTTAATTAATACGAAATATGAAATTTGCACTGATTTGTTCAAGTACCTTATCAGCTGTCTACATTTGGGACATCTTTTGCCACATTTTTCAGCTGCAGATTTCAAGCAGTTCTTGCAAAAACTAAAACACCAAAGTTGATGTTACATTCAAAAATTGGAATTTTACAGATTATTCTTCTCAATTATATGATGTAAGATTCTGAATTTTACCTGTGACCACAAGGAGTTGTGCTTGGTTCATAACATATGTCCAAGCAAATCTGGATAAATAAAAGTAACCATTTTAAATTCAATCCATGAAAATTGAAAACTCAACTATTCTTATATGTACACAACTTTCATAGTCACCTCAAATCACATAAAGTCGACTTTAGGTGATTAGATTGGAATGACTAAACCTGTCGTGTATACAATACACCCGTTGCATATAAGTTTTCACCTAATCAGGGCGCTAAATGACGATGGTACAATGGGGATAAAAATGACAAGCAAAATCAGAAAGTAAAGCTCACTTACAGCACAAGAAAGTTCATCTCTAAGACGATCCATACATGTAAGTGTTGAAGAACTTGAACAATTAGCAGCATCAGAAACAGCATTTTCCTGCTCCTTTTCTTTGGTTTTTTCTTCTACTTTCTTTGGTAAATCACTTTTACCCTTTTCTGCTTCTACCCATCACAAAAAATCCTCAAAATATTCAGAAAATTGAAATTCATAATTCTAACTTTAATAATTATTATTATTAACCCTTCTTCAATTTCAATGAAATTAATTGGAAAAACAACTTTAAAAAATTCTGTAAATTCAATATAGACTAGGTTACTCATTTCACTCCAAGTACCCATGTCGAATCCCCGACACTTCAATTTGTGCCGAAATCTTTGATTAATTCTCAAATTGACCGTATCCATGATCAACTCGAGTACCCGAGTCCCAGTAACATAGAATCAAGACTAATTCACTGAAAACCCACCAGATGACCAGACCCCATCAATCAAAACACCAAAAATACACCAAATTTTCCAATCAAACCCAAAAGGATTCAAAAAACATACCTTTAAGATTACTGTTAGAAGATTCATCATCAACATCAACATCAAGATTAAAAACTGCAATAGGAATCGAACCAGGGCGAACCCGTCTTCTCTTTTTTCTAGAACTAGTAGAAGGAGATTTCACAAGTAAATCAGAACGTTTCTTGTCTCTTAAGTTTCTTTCAGGGGTATCTTCAACAACAAGAGTAGAAAGTAGGGTTTCTTCATCCCATCCCGCCATTGCTGCAACTGATTTGAATCTTGGGCTAAACATACTCATATTATTACTGCAATTTTCTGGGATTTGGGTTGAATTAATTGATGGGGTGTTTTTGATTTTGGGGGTTTTGGTTGAATCTTGAGTCACCATTGAAGAATGTTGAGAAACAGGGAGGAGAGAGAATGAGAGAAAGGAGATCAAGGACAAATTTTGAATCTGAGACGTTTAGGACAAGCCTTTTTGGGCAACGGTCGAATTTTTTTTTTTAAGGAAAATGACAACTCAGTCTGTGTTTTAGGCCAATTGACCAAATTGGTAAATAAAAAAGACCCTAACGATAATTTGGTAAAAAAAAAACCCTAATCATGTGTAACAATTTGGTAAAAACAATAAACTCCGGCGACATTTAGACCAAAAAAATCTATTTTTTCGACAAATTCTTTAAAATCATATTTTAATTTGTATTTGTGTTTTTAAATTTATTTTTCCTTTTAAAAATTTTGAATTACTATCTCATCTCCTTTTTATTTTTCTAAATAATCCCGATACCAAATTTATTTCCTACCCCTTTTTAAAAACATTTCATTAATAGGGGGTATGAATCTTAAGTAAAAATTGATACTTAACATGTTTTTTTCTTGAAATTGTTAGATCCGTAAAAAAGGGCGGTAAAAAACCACAAAAAACGAACTAAAATAAGTATTCGCGAGTAATTTATTGGATTTTTTTGTATTTTTTGTGTTAAATGTCGCCTGAGATAATTTTATTTACCAAATTGTCGCTTAGGGTTAACTTTTTTTTTACTAAATTGTCGCCGGAGTTATTTTTTTACCAAATTGTCACTAAGGGTCTTTTTTATTTACCAAATTGGTCAATTGGCCTCGTGTTTTAATAAATTAGACAATTTAATTAACTGCAATAGGAATCGAAAGTGACGCGGCTAATGTGATCTCGGGGATTAAGCAACGTTCCACAGGATGCTCTCCATTCTATCTACTTTTAGAGGATATTTGTTCTATTTCTACGTCTTTCATTATTTTATGTTCTTTTTCTCATGTTAAAAGGACGGGGAATACTTTAGCCCATTTGGTGGCAAGATGGGATTTTAGGGGTTGCGATGAACTTGTTCGTTGTGGTCCTCCCCCAAAGTCTTATTCGTTGCGATGAACTTTTCTCATTTAATATAATCCCCGTCGTGTTTATTCAAAAAAAAAAAAAAAAAGACAATTTAATTAACTTAAATAAAATAAAAGGTAAGTGAAGTACTTAAAAAATTACTTCCTACTATATAAAAGAAAGATAGTAATGAATGTGTTAGGAAATTAGGGTGTAATTGTGTTTGATTAACGCGGAACAAGTCAATGAAATTAAGAACGAGAAAAACAATAAAGAAGATAAACAAAGAACATAAGGATTTTTGTGGTTCGGTCAAAATAGACCTACATCCACGGGTGGGGGATTCGAGAGCTTCTTCACTATAATGGAGAAAGAACGAGAGAATAATACAAGGAGTCCTAAATCTAATGGCTCAAAAAGGTATGATCTAAATGATCAACTAAAGGGTCCTTTTATAACACAAAAAACCCTAATAAAACCCTAATATTGTTCCCCAAGTATACTCAAATAGCCGTCATAGAAAAGGTGAAACGCTAAACATCGCCCGCAAATTACCATATAAAGCCCACAAATATGATTTGGTGTGACCATTATGCCCATTTTCTAAAATTGAAATAATCTCGGTTTAAAAAATGTGGAGCCGTACTGGCTCGCCGGGGGAGACCGGAGGGCAGGCCGGAGATGCGGGGGACGCCGGAGGTACGTCGTCTTCGACGGAAAACGAGGTAAGTCACCGTTAAAATTCACGGTTTACCGTCGGAGTGGCTCCGGCGCCTAGGATGGACGCCCAATCCGTAGCCTGGACGTCCAAGCCAGACGCCAGAACCACCAGAGTGGCGTCCAGCCCAGACGCCCAGACCACCAGACTGGCGTCTTGGCCAAGCGCCACTCTACTGGCTGAGGCGGCCCTGCCAGGCGCCAGTCCAGTGGCTGTGGCAGCCCTGGCAGACGCCACCCTTATAAATTATTATTTTTTTTCTTTTTTGATTTTGTTGTTGTTTTTTATTTAATTTTTTTTTTTAAAAAAAAAATCGAAAATGATTTTTTAAAAAAATTCGAAATGGGTTTTTTTAAAATTAATTTTGAAAATTCGAAATAGGTTTTTTTAAAATTAAGTTTGAAAATTCGAAATGGTATATTTTTAAATTTAGTTTGAAAATTCGAATTGGGTTTTTATAAAAATTAAGTTTGATTATATATAATTATGCTTTTTTTTTGTGTTAATTCTGTGTAAATATAGAAATTAAATGTACTTTCCGTTAAATGTATTTATTGTAATATATAATTGATGCAGGAATATGGTGGAGACGGATTTGATTACAGTGGGATATTTGGACATGATGGTCCATTCGAAGAAGCTCAACAGACGATTGATTGGGGAAAACAGGTTGCAATTGCAGGTGGATTTTGCTTGGTAGTAGTAACTCATAAATCTCAACGGGATGGTAGAATGGATCGCATTTTGAGATGTGACCGTTATCGCAAAAGAGAAGAAAAAGATTTCCGTACAGCCACTCGGTTTGGTACAAAGCGGAAAGGTTGTGGGTGTGAGTTCAGAGTAAAGGTTCGACAACTACGGAGTCGTGACGGTTGGGAAGTGATTGGTTACTCTAAATGGGGGTATCACAACCATGAGATGATAGTATATGAAGAGGGTCATCGAAAACTGAGCGGCTTAAGTCCTGCTGCGAAACTAGTTGTGAAAGAAATGAGTGATGCTCAAGTCAAGCCTGCTAAAATATTAGCATCTGTGTTAGAGAAATTTCCAGAAGACCATCCAAACCGAAGACACATCTACAACGTCAGACAGCAACTCAGGTTTGAACGATCAGAGGGAAGGAACCCTATACAGCAGCTGCTACACCAGGCACAATCACGTGGTTACCTGTTCTGGTTTGATTCTGATGAAGATACAGCGGAGGTGACTCATCTTTTCCTTGTGCATCCTGATTGTGCTGATATGATCAAGTCTTGGCCATTTGTGATTTTGATCGACTCAACGTACAAGACAAACAAGTACAAGTTCCCACTGGTTGAGATCATGGGGATGACTCCAACGAACCAGAACTTTCTGATTGGTCATGCAATCATCAAGGATGAGACGGCTCCAAGTTATTATTGGGTGTTGGAGAAGCTGAGAAACTACATCGGGCCTAATGTTCATCCAGCAACCATCGTCAGCGACTGTGAGGGAGGTCTCTTTGCCCCCATAGCAGAGCTGTTTTCCGAATCGAACCACTTATTGTGCACATGGCACATCAACAACTGCGTGAAAGTGAAAGCCTACAACCTTTTCAAGAAGAATTTGGAAATGGCAGAGAGATTGGTGAATGGTAAGTGGCGGAAGATCCTACAGGCTACCACAGAGGAAGCGTATGAGCGAGCATTGGCTAACTTCAGGGATTCGTACCAGTGGTGTCCGGCACTGGTGGACTATGTGATGCAGCAATGGGTCCCTCACAGGGAAAAGTTTGTCAAATATTGGACAAACCAGGTACTTCATTTTGGGAACACTACAACATGTAGAGTTGAGAGCGCTCATAGAGCTACCAAGGACTGGATTGATTCATCGACCGCTGCTTTGGATACACTGTTCGCTAGACTTAATAAGTCAATTGAAACTCAGAAGAACGACATCGGAACTCTCTAGAGGACTCCAGACGACGACATGGTACGATGTATAGCCATTTTATATTTAAGATTCTCCATGGTCGTGTGTCGCACTACTGCTTGGTGCATGGTGGCAGGAACGTGATTCACCCCAGTGCCCTCCAGTCGCTAGAACATCTCGCTCTCCGCCGGCCAAGCCTTAGCCCATGTACGCAAAAAGCTACAAGTCTTTTCCCGGGTATGACATTTCAACAACCCCGTAACTGAAGGCCTCTCCTGGTCCTCCCAAATACGGGCTGCTATGTGTCCTAGAAAGCTAGGAATCACACTCCCGTCAACAGGCCCACCGGGCACCTCACTCCTAACAACCCAAGAATCATTACCGTCCCTCGACCGTTTCCTGCTTGCCCCAGATACAGTGGACGCAGATGATGTGCCAGATCTACTAACAAACCTACCACCCCTACCCTTACGCACCTCCACCATATGTGTCTCGTACATGTCATCAACCCTCTGACTGAATGGACCGTAATCATCATACGGTCCACTGCCATCGTCCACATCCTCATCCTCATCTGCGCCCTCCTCCTGCTCCTCCTCCTGGTCACCCTCCTCAGCATCATCATCGTCATCGTCATCCTCATCCCGACGGTGGATCCGTTCTCTACGAGCTGAGGCCGAAATACCACGGGATTCGACATGTCTATGCCCCGACCTCTCCACTGAATAGCTTCTACTAAGAAGCTCTACATTCTTCCCAGCACCATGACGACCCAGTGAATTCTACACAAAATTTTAAAATATATAAACATACAAAAATTTATACGAAAAATTGCTACCACTCCCAAATCAAATAAACTAAAAACATACAAATAATTGTAAACAAAATATAAACATAGAAAAAATACAACAAAATTGAAAAAATTTATAAAAATAAACAACAAAATATAAAAACAATTCAAAAATATATTACACAAAAAAAAAAAAAAACAATATTTTAAAACAAATATAAAAAAAAAAAATGGGGGGGGGGCGCCTTGGCTGGACGCCCAGCCAGCGGTGGTGGCGCTAGCTGCAGACGCCGCCACCAGTGGGCTGGCGCCTGGGCTGGGCGCCACAGCCACGGCTACGGCGCCTTGATTAAACGCCACAACCGTGGCTATGGCGTCCAGCCCAGGCGCCAGCCTACTGGTGGCGGCGTCTGCAGCTGGCGCCACCACCGCTTGCTGGGCGTCCAGCCAGGGCGCCCCACCTCCGTCACGGCGGTTTTTCCTTTTTTTTTTTTTTTTTTTTTTTTTTACAAATTGTACCTTGCGTCCTTGGGACCTCCTTCCCTCCGCCGCCGCCGCCAATTCCTTGCCTTGCCGCCTCGACATTGCCGTTGTTTGAAATTTTATTTTTTTTTAAGAGAGGTTGAAAGAAGATGAGCAATGAGAGTGTGAGTGATGAGAGTGTGAGTGTTTTTTTTTAAGGTCAAGGGCAATATTGTCAAACCAAGTGAATTTTGTGGGCTTTATGTAGTAATTTATGGGCGATGTTTAACAAATCCCTAGAAAAGATATAATTATAGGAAATATTCCATAAATTATCCTAGAATAACCTAACTACCGAGCTATAGCTCGGAAGCTAGCTCATACCTGCCGCAAGTCCTCATAGGGCCGAGCTATAGCTCACTCGCATAGAGCTATAGCTCGTAGCCTCGTTGCTAATTTCCAGCTTCGTCAGGTTTTTGTAAAACGATC